AAGGCTGCAGTGAGCTGTGATCACACTCCTGCATTCCAGCCTGTGACAGAGTGGAACCTTGTGTTACAAAAAATAATATCAACACAGTTCACTTTTGTGGACTATCTCATGTCCTGACACCCTGGGTGGAAAAGGCGACATGTAACAAGCCAGGCAGCATACTGGAAAATGGGCCACCCAGTTCCCCGCTCACCGATGTGGGGGCTGGCAGGGTCGCTGGCTCGCATGTATCGAGGGGTGTCTTCCTCCAGCAGGCGGTGAGTCACTAACCCTGTGCAGCTCTGCAAGAGGATGGGCTGGGTGTCATTTTCAATTCCTTCCAGGCGCCTGGCAATTCTTTCTTTTCTGTGAAATACACCAAAAGAGGCAGAGTGAGCAACAGCGATGGAGTCTAAAGGAAAATGAAATACTACTTTGCCAAGCTCTCTTCTACTTCCTAACGCCATACTATAAAGATCTTACCTTTTCATTTCTAAGAATTCGTCTTTCTTTGGTTCAAAGATTTGTCTTAATTCTGCAACTAAAAGAAAACCAAAAAAGAACAAAATATAGTATTTAGTAGTCTGGCACTCATTTTATTCACCATGCAACATATTTATTGAACAGAAAATTTCAGTTCTTGGTTCCTGCGTAACAGGGATATGCAAAACTGACCAAGTTCCTGCTTTCATGGAGACTGTTTTCTGGTAGGGGAGGCCAATGCCAAATGAATAGTGCGCGGCACGCGCACACACACACACACACACACACACACACACACACACACACTGGGATGTATCATCCTCCTCCACGGTCAAGTTGAATATTTGATGCCCATAAAAATGACTGAGTTATCAAGGCAAAGCTAAGCCATGCTCATTCAGCATACTGTTTAATATGAAATAAATATGTAATATATTTAAAATTACACACATTAAAATAATTTAAATAGAATGTTTCATTGTATATACATTGCAACATCTGTATATGTGACTCATGTAAATGTCACATATATAGGTTGGTAAAGAAGTAAAATCATACAGGGTGAGGGAGAAGGTTCTTTCATCTAGGGGAATCAAGGGAGACCTGACTAGCAAGATCTTTCTAGGAAAGCATTTTAGGCAGAAATCTCAATAACTGTTTCTAACTTTGGTTTGGTTTAACAAAGTATTCTTAGCCTCTATTATGGAAATCATTTACAGAAGTAGAGACTAGGACCGTGAACCCCACAGGGCCATCAGCAAGCTACAAGCATGAACTCATGGCCACTCCTCCTCCACCCTCTCTGGGAATCTGTAAATGGCTGTAATTATCTGATTGTGTTTCCAACAGAGCCTAAAGTGGGCGCTTCAATTAGCTACAGTTTAGATGAACACAGGTCCTCAACCTCCCTGCACAGGCTTTCACTGGAAGGAAGTGTTAACAATGTTGCCTTGCTATAATTTAGGTAGATGATGGGTAAGGCAATTACCCCAATGTTTCTGGCAGCATTGGAGAAAGAGAACAAACCTTGTGCTGAGGTTGGGAGGTTCTCACATGATACTGACTACAAGGATATTACTGAGATGCCAGACAACTGTTTCTTTGGAGAAATGGCCACAGTTCATGGGGAATAAAAGTCTCTCTTTCTGCCTCCTCCTCAATAGCTTAAATTCATAAGGGCTCATCTGAGTGAGTCCTATGAAGGACTCAGAATGGGGTGGGAGTAAGAGAGGGGGGTGGCTGGGCAGCCCCGGGCCAGGGTCAATGAAAAGTTTTGAAAGGCTGAGTCAAAGGAGAAACTCAAAGGAATTTGATTTTCAACTGCTTCAATTTCCGTTTTCTTTTCTCAAAGTGGTAATTTTTAGGAATGAGTCAAAACTACACACATCCACGCACGCGCACACAACACATACATGCATACATACACACACATACCTTTACTGCCCTTTGTGTTCAGAGACAGAAGCCTTGTTTTTTCTTCATTTACTTTTAAGTGATAGCCACCTTAAAACTTTAGCTGAATTTGTTAAGGTAGCTGGCTTCAAAAAAGCAAAACCTCTTTCCCTCTGACTTCAAAAAGATCTCTCAGTTGGCCTCCCCAGGAACCAGAGTAGCTGGGGGCAAAGAAGTCCTCATTCTAATTACGCTCCTATTTAAAAGACAGGGGTATAATGAGAATGGTGCACCTGCCACGCAGTCTTGTGAGAGGAGGCTTGACCGGTAACGACAGCTTCCCCGTCAACAAATTAGCCCTGGTGAGATTATGGTGACAAAACTTTAATAGCTGGTAGGACATATTTTGAAAATATTTTCAAGGATGACAAAAACAAAGGGTTTTAATTAGTTATTTAAACCCCAAAGAGGAGAGGGGAGCCATATTTTTCAAAAGACCGCTCAAGAAGCTATCAAAACCAAATTCCAAGGGCATCTAAAAGGCATGGCTTGAACTCATGCCTCGAACACATAACTGAAAAATAGAAAATATTAATAGCGTCCTGAGTAGCATAATCGCCTCTCCCCTCCCCTCCTGTCTTTTCCCCTCCTTTCCTCTCCTTTTCTTTCTACACCCCTCTTTCCTTTACAGACAGGGTCTCATTCTCTCACCCAGGCTGGCGTGTAGAGGCACGATCTTGACTCACTGCAGCCTCAACCTCCCAGACTCAAGTGATCCTCCCAACTCAGCCTCATGAGTAGCTGGGATTAGGGGCACATACCACCACACCTGGCTAGCTTTTTGTATTTTTTGTGGAGACGGGGTTTCGCTATGTTCTCCAGGATGGTCTTGAACTCCTGGGCTCAAGGGATCTAACCACCTCGGCCTCCCAAAGTGCTGGATGGCAGGCGTGAGCCACCACGCCTGGCCTGACACTTCCGTTTTCTCCCCCCGCATTATTTCAACTGGGTAAATATCAAAACCATTAATATATAGAGTGTCATTGACCTTCCATTGGAAAAAGTGAAGATAGGCTTTTCTTGGTTCTAATTAGAGAGTGTTGAAAGTTACTTTCATTTCATCCAAATTTTAATTAATTTTACAATTTTTCTATAGAAATGCAACTAAAGGGGTTTTTCAGAAAGATTACCACAGTATATGGAAAGGCAAAGCAACATGTTGCTTCCTGCCATTCTCTACTTCCCATGTTCCAGAAGGAAAGATCTAGCTGGGAGAGTGTGCTGGCTCCCTACACACAGGAAAGGTAGACTTTCCTACTGCCCACCAGGGAACACTGCCCTCTGATAGCCGTCCGCTTCTGTGCATAAGACGAGAAGTTCTCAGGATAGGATGTAGCAGGCACGCAGATGTACCTCATCAAGGTCATGGGTTCAGGAAGCTGGCTTTGGAGAGCTCACAGATCACTATGGGGGCACTAATGGCTTCTGAGCGGGAAGTGGCTGTGTTGTGAACTCTGCACCGCAGGATGTTGTACGTCCCAGGTTCTCCTAGAAATGCTAAATCACCCCCAGTTGCTGCAACACAAAAATGTCACATATTTCTAAAGCCCATTAGGGGCTGTCCTAGATTGAGAACCACTGAGAATCACTGACTCCCCCAGGTCCTAGAATTTCAAATACACAGCCTGTGCCTTAGACACCCAGGCCTTCGGTTACCCAGTGCGGACGCCACTAGCCCAGCATTGCACTCTCTTCAGTCAAGCCCAGATTCAATGCAAAGCTATGCCAAGCCTACTGCTCCTGGAAACTAGAATCCATCAACGTAGGGTCCTCTCTGATCATTTCACTGAGGAATTACATGAGGTCGTAAAATAAACTATGCTTTCAATATACTGATGAGCTTACTAATTCTTAGTGAAAACCTATAGTGAATTTTTAAAGGAAAATAAATAAAGCTCTCCAGCAAACAATTAATGACCTCTCAGCCTATTCTTTCTAGCAAATATATTTTCAATTACCAAGATATGCCTCATTCCTACAGAAATGGGATTATAAGAAATGATGCACAAGACAAAAAGAAGCAACAGAGAGACATTTTGAGTTTTGCCTCTTTTCCCCAAGTCTATACAAACATGTAATATAATTAATGTGTATTATATTACATATGTGTTTTATATTATTATTAATAATAATAGCCAGGCATGGTGGCTTATGACTGTAATCCCAGCACTTTAGGAGGCTGAGGCAGGTGGATCACTTGAGGTCAGGAGTTTGAGACCAGCCTGGCCAACATGATGAACTCCCGTCTCTACTAAAAATACAAAAAAATTAGCCTGGTGTGGTGGGCATGCATGTGTAATCCCAGCTACTCGGGAGGCTGAGGCAGGAGAATTGCATGAACCCAGGAGACAGAGGTTGCACTGGGACAAGATGATGCCACTGCACTCCAGCCTGGGTGACAGAGCATCATTCTGTCTCAAATGTGTATATATATATATATAAAACATGGTTTATATTATATATTTTATATTATATTATTATATAAACCATGTTTTATATTACTATCAATCATATAAACATTTTTTGTATTATTGGCATAAAGCCAATACTAAAAACATCATGGATAAAAGTCATTGTTGCTGTGGGAATCTATGTTGTAACTCTGTTGTTTTATTTATAAAGTCTACCTACAGTTCGGCCAAAGTTACCTTCTGATTGATAATCTTAAAAGTTCCTGTTCTTTCAAAACTTCATAAAAGTTTTGTGTAATTCCAGACTTACAGAAAATTTAAAAGATATCCTTTGGCCGGGCGTGGTGGCTCACGCCTGTAATCCCAGCACTTTGGGAGGCCGAGGGGGATGGATCACGATGTCAGCAGATGGAGACCATCCTCGCTAACACAGTGAAACCCTGTCTCTACTAAAAATACAAAAAATTAGCTGGGCATGGTGGCGAGTGCCTATAGTTCCAGCTACTTGGGAGGCTGAGTAGCTGGGACTACAGGTGCATGCCACCACGCCTGGCTAATTTTTGTATTTTTAGTAGAGAAAGGCATTTCACCATGTTGGCCAGGGTGGTCTCAATCTCTTGACCTCATGATCTGCCCCCCTTGCCCTCCCAAAGTGCTGGGATTATAGGCGTGAGCCACCACGCCCAGCCAGGAGTTTTGAACATATCCACCTGTCCCTTATTTTACCTGCTATCTTGGTCTGTTACTCTTCTGTGAGTAATTCTGAGTGGTACTACTGTGGCAATATGGCCTCTATGAACGTATTTCTTTAGTTATTTCTGATGGGAGCTGGAGGTTAGTTTTCAAATAAGGCTATTTAAGGAAATTTGATAGCAAAACTATAATACTTCATACGTTATTTACAACTGCCTAATATGTTTTGCAATAATGATATATAACACCGATATTCTGAACCATTTGGTCTGTGGGGTGCTTTTCTTGGGACACATAGTTTCTTCCATTAGCTCTAAGAAACAGGATTTCTAGTTTGGACATTGTTGAGTTCAGTCCTCCAAACCTGAGTACAGTAGAACTTTCCAAAGAAATATTAGTGGCAGGGGTACTGCCAAGAACACTTCTCTCCTCCTTCACGCGACAGCCAGAGAGACTAGGCCAGATCTGGAATATTCTGAGCTTACTTCCCACAAGAGTAAAGCCCTTTAACTTTACACTTGGATGGCAGCCACTAATATAAAGACAAGCAGCTCATACACCAAGCAATTACAAGCTAGAGGAATAGGGGAGGGGTGATGGCTGCAGGGTGTAGGGTTTCTTTCTGGAATAATGAAAATGTTCTAAAACTGGCTGTACTGATGGATGCAGAACTCTGTGAATTGCTGAAGCTGACAGAATCGCATACCTTAAATGAAAGGATTGCATGGTAGGTGTGTTGTAACTTAATAAAACTGCTAAAGAAAGTGGAATCATATATTTGGTCCATTTCATAATTCCTAAATAAAAAATCTATTTTAATATTATAAATGTTACATAAGTAAATATTTTTATTTTTATTTTTTGAGATGGAGTCTCGCTCAGCCACCCAGGCTGGAGTGCAGTGTTGTAATCTCGGCTCACTGCAACCGCCATCCTCTGGGTTCAAGCAATTCTCCCGTCTCAGCCTCCAGAGTAGCTGGGATTACAGGCACCTGCCATCATGCTCAGCTCATTTTTGTATTTTTAGTGGAGACGGGGTTTCATCATGTTGGCCAGGCTGGTCTTGAATTCCTGACCTCAGGTGATCCGCCTGCCTTGGCGTCCCAAAGTGCTAGGATTACATGTATGAGCCACCACGCATGGCCTAGTTAAACATTTTTAATTCCTTGATTACTTGTTTGTGATACACACTTAGAGGACGTCTCTTAGAGAAAAAGTGACGACCACTTTAATGCCCAGTTTCACAGGAAATGAACAGAAAGAAGCTTTTATAAACATCACATAAAAAACTTGATGTCATTAAAATAAAATTATAACTAAATCATGTTTAAATATAATATTGCTAAGAGCTGACACACCAAATCATTAACATATCTGTTAAATCAGAGAAAAAAAAGAGATTGCTGGTCTTTCCAAATCTGCCTACTTTATTTTTCATAAAAAGCAAAGGTATGTGAAATAAGACTGTAGAGAATTTAGGTGAAATTCAGGGGAAGTGAGGCACTGTCATTTTTAAAGCATATTTTAAAGATTTAAGGGACCATGTTGATTTAGAAACATCAATCTGGTGAATACATAAAATAATCATCTTTGATTTGTAAAGATTATTTTTTATAATCATTTATGACATATTTTTTAATACAATCAGCTAACAAGCTTAGGTGTTCTAAAAGTTTATCACAGATGAAGTTACCATTGGTTGAACCTTAAGGAGCCTAGCATTTCATACTGTTTTTGATTTTTCTGCTCATAATATTGTCGGTGGTATTATGCATCAAATAAAGGAACCCGGACAGAGAACGGGAAAGAGGGACCCTTCTGACTGGTGGAAACAACCTGCCATGTAGAACTTTGCCTAATCAGCTCTTCTCAGCTACTGCTAATATTGATTTGCTCATTCTTATACGTTGTTTTGATCATCTGCATAGGTTTTAAGAACTTTGTCTCAGATTAAATCAGTTTTTTTGTCTTTCACAGAGAGTGCTAAACAATGGCAGAGCCATTCCATTTGACAGCCATTCTGGCCCCATCTGCATCCGTCCTACCCGGACAGGAGGCTATTGAGTTGCCCTTGGAAACCCCCGGGGGAGAGCTGATGGGAGCACAGTGTGGTCACTTCATTTCTAGGTACCATGAATGATTAATTTTCTTTTTGATATGAAATCTCATCTGCCTCCTTGTAATTCTACACATTATTCTTACTTTTGGCCTCTGGAGCCACATAGAATAGACCTGTACTTCAGCTGACAGTGTTGTAAGTACTTGAAAATTGCAGCAAGTCTGGGTTTTCTTCGCCAGGCCAAATCCCCGGGGTCCTTCAGACATCCATCCTCATCAGAATATGTCTTGGTCCATCATCAGTTCAATTCCTCAGGATAGAGTCCAATTCATTGGCAGGTCTTATAAAATGGATTTACTTTCTATTAAAAGAAGATGCGTTTGATCTGATTTCTTTTGGGCATGATCCTTTGCTTTTTCTTTCAGAGTAGAAAAAATTCTGCCCTTCCATCAAATTGGTTTCTTCCACAGGAAGGTTTCCACAGCACACTCAGGATGAAGACATTTTGTGAGCTGGGACTAATGATCATTCCTTGTGCTAGTGTTCCAGTCACAATGACCAAGCAATGTTTACAACATTTCACAGGTAAAACTAGGGCGAATTGGCTTCTAGTTGGTGCAGACATTTTACTGCATGTGCGCCTTGCCCAGTGGAAATAGTAATTTACCAACCACGTGTGAGTGCTGCTTGGGGAAGAAGACAGATTGTCATGATGTGGTCTTCACGGGCTGTTTGCAGCCCAGCACGGAGGTACAAGATGTTAAATGTAAAAGGCCTGGCCTGGTGCGGTGGCTCATGCCCGTAATCCCAGCACTTTGGGAGGATCACCTGAGGCCAGGAGTTTGAGACCAGCCTGGCTAACCTTGTGAAAACCCTGCCTCTACTAAAAATTCAAAAAAATTACCCAGATGTGGTGGCATGCACCTATAATCCCAGCTACTTGGGAGGCTGAGGCTGGAGAATCTCTAAAACCTGAGAAGCGGAGGTGGCAGTGAGCTGAGAATGCACTGCTGTACTCCAGCCTGGGTGGCTGAGGGAGACTCCATCTCAAAAAAAAAAAAAAAAAAAGCCCTAACTCTGGGAAGCATCAAGAGGCCTGGGACAGCCACCGGAGGCAGCAGGAGTGGGTGGACAGAGAAGAGATGGGGGGGCCTCCAGTAAAAACCTGAGGATGCCTACAATTAAAGGGCAAGAAGGAGTAGCAAGGAGAGGATTCAAAATGCATCAGAGAGATGCAAGGGAATTGAAGCCAATCCTTGGAGGAGGCAGGCAGGGCCACAAAGGAGACTGTGAGCTGGAGGTGAGGGAGAGATCTGCTGGAGGAAATGCAGACAACACAGGACTCGTCGACCCAGACACGCTGGTCACTGAGGAGCTGCCTTACCTTTCGGAAGTGCAGCTGAAAGCTTAGCATCGATTCCTCTTTTGTGGTTAGGGAGCTGTTCTTGATCTTCGAGTGACAACTCTTTCTGAAAGCTAAAAATTACTCCATTAATGAAGTCCATTTAAATCAAGATATATAAGTGAAAAAATACAGAACATAAAAATTACGATATTGTTACATATCATTAAACATGAACACATAGATCATAAGTAAAACATTTTATTTTGGGGAGAAAATTGGTACCTTTTTCATTTACTTATATTTATGTAAATACGGTGATTTTTTGTGCACCTAAGTAATTACAGCAGGATTAGTGGGTAGTGTGGTGTGGTGTGGTGTGTGAGGGTGAAAATATTGCTGAATTGGAAGTCATATGCTTTCGCTCACACTGAGCACCTCTTCTTGACCTAGGAATAGGTTTGCAAGCTTGGATTAATTACTCAGCCTCTCTGTGCTACAATTTCTTCTTCAGAAAATCAGTAACTTGTCTAGGTGATCTACATGCTGTCCTCCAGTATCAAAATTATACTAAAGTAACAGATGCCTTCAAACAACCAAGATATTAAAATTTGGAAAACCTCATGAAGCCTTGTGTTGGAATAAAAGAGGAAATGAAAGGGGAGAATAATGAGGGAAGTGAGCCCTTCCTGTAGACTTCCCCAGGGTAAGCACACCCAGGTATCTCCCTAATTATCTCCCCAAGACCCTAAGACGTGTGAACTACTCAGTGGTATGCTGATGAAGGTGCAAATGGCCCTGCCCTCATGTCCCACCCACCCAGCCCCACCCACTCAGGCCCTGCCCACCCAGACCCTCCACCTGGCCCTGAGAAAAGCACCTGCTTTGTAGTATTGGCGGGTGGTGTCAACACTCTCACCACGGCGGCTCCCACAGGACTCACTGAACTCCAGGTCGGGAGAAAGGCACGCATGTCTGGCCCCAGCACAACACCAGAACTAGTATCATCCTCAGTTTACAGATCCGGGAATTGTTACATGATTTTCCCAAAAACTCATATTTGACAAGAAGAAGAGAAGAGATTCAAATCCATCTCCTAGTTTAATACCAGCCACAGCCACCCCGAGACTGCTGCGTACACAACTCCATGGTCTTCGATGTGCCTGGAGCGGGCAGGGCAGAGGGTGCTGGTGTCTTGAGAGAAGCAAACCCGTGAAAACAGGGAACTGCTGTTCCTCAAGGTCAGTGTGACCTCGGAGGGTGAAAGACAGGCTTGGAAAAGACTCACTGTGCAGCCGACCCTCCCCCTGCACAGGTGCATTTCCATAAAGGCCAAGGGAGAGACGGAGGAAGCTGTGTGGACACTGTGTAAGTGGGACGCATGAATCACCCATACCCCATGTATAAACTACACCGAAGCAACTTCTACGCCGTCCAAAACACGATCCACCACTCTTCCCTCCTAGAACAAAGTCCATCTTCGTTTTTCCATATACGATGGAGTAAAGCTTATATTCCCTAAGTATGTGCGTCATGTGTTCACATTATTTAATAAAAAGTCCTGAGAAGAATTAGGCTTTATCAGCCACGCTCTGGAATGGCTAGAAGACCCCGGGACACCTGCCTAGTCAGAAACTCAGAGCGAGCCCCGACTTCTAAACACTGAGTCATAAGGCAGTAACTACTCCTGTCAGTGTTTTATTCACCTGCAGGATTTAGTTGAAAGCTAAAAAAACTAATGGCAGAAATGTACCTGACTTGAGGAATGCCATGTTATTTTAATTGATTATTTAATTGCTAATTTAAATATATTGACAAAGCTCTGTACTTGCTTTGGGAAACTAAAATATTTTCAAGAAAAAAAAAATCTACGTTAGAGTGAAATAATGCAGTCCCTAAAATATTCAGCTTCTCAGACCACCGACCTTGGGGTACAAATGCTATCTCATATTTTCAAAAATAAACGTCTGTGTGTCTTTATTTCCTTCTTTCTTTCTGTTTCTCAGAAAGCTCAATGGAGCCACTAATGAAAAGCAAGAAACTGTCCCTGAGTCCAATACTCCGCTGGAGTCTACAGAGCGAGCTTTACGAGTCGTCTCCCGGACACTCCCCAGATCCACGGGCACTTATTTTCTTGAAACACGCTGCAAATGGAGCCAGTGCCCAGTGAAGTGTAGCCTTTTGACAGCAGGTCAGAAACCAGTGGAAACCAGAGCTCTAAGAGGAAAGTCTCTGATGCTCCCCAGCATGGTTCACTTGACACGCTGTTTCCTCCCCTGAGCACTCTCCTCTCCAGCCTCCTGCCATCCTGTGGCTTCGTCTCGCTCCTGGTCTGTGCCTCAGTTGGCTGGTCATGTCCTCAGCGCAGAGCACCCAGACCCACCGCCTATCCCCACCAGCACCCAAAGGATATTACACAACTCATTAACCACAGCACTTTGTGGGGACTGAGGCAGGAGGGTTGTTTGAGCCCAGGAGTTCAAGACCAGCCTGGGGGACACAGCAAGATCCCATCTCTACAAAAAATAGAAAAATTAGCCAGGCACAGGCACAAGCCTATAGACCCAGCTACTCAGGAGGCTGAGGTGGTAGGACTCATTGAAACTAGGAGTTTGAGGCTGCAGTGAGCTATGATCGTGCCACTGTACTCCAGCCTGGGTGACAGAGTGGGACCCTGTCTCTTAAAAAATCTAAGTGATTAAATTAAACATTATTTTAAGAAAATTAACATATTTCAAATAAATGACTACTGCAAAACATTTCAAATGAATACTACGATTCACCCTGAGTATTTCTGGTGTACCTTCTATGCAATGTTGAGGTGATGGCTAGGGGTAAAATCATTACAAACACTGGTAATAACTACAAGAGCATGAGGGCAATAACATCAGTTACAAGCCCCTCCTTCCTCCTGCCCTCCCTTCCTTCTCATCCTCCCTCCTTCCCTTTCTTCGTTCCTTTCTTCTTTGATCTTTGGATAGGACATAATTGGGAACACATCACTCCTTATTACCTTTGCTCACCTTGCATACATGTGTGAATAACTGGCATAATTGCACGTGTTGATAAAGTAACAATTTTAGAATCTGCAGGTTCCAGGTAGACATTTATTACCAAGTCCACGCGGCTGTCATCACCCTCTGTTCCCCTCTCCGCGGCCTCTCTCCCCTGCTCCTGCTAAATGACCAGGGCTTCTGGGAAAGCGGATGAGCAGACAGGAGGAGCAGGGGCAGACTGGGCTGGAAAGTGTGGCTGTGGCTCAAGGTGGTGCCACAGGCTGTGATTGATGCAAGACCCCTCCAATCAACATGTGAAATCGAGTTTCTCTCTTTAAAACAAAAATAATGTTCCTTCCCTGAACTTTCTCTACCCGAGGGCACCAATCATCAGTGAAAATACAGGTAAGACACACTTGTAAAATTCAGCACGGTTCATCAGTGAGCACCTTTTTCTGCTCATTTAATGCTGATGAAGCCCAAGGACCTGTGAGAGTCCGGACTCTCCTCTCCTCTCCACTTCTTCTGACTCAGAGGCACCTGAGCAGAGCAACTGGTAGGGTCCATTCCTAACGCACCAGGGACAAAGGAATCTCTGCAGGGACATCCTCTGCAGGGACAACCTCTGCAGGCCTTGGTGTCTTGCTACAGCTCAACCCAAAGTAAGAGCCTGTGTTTCCACAGGGAAGCGTCTGTCCATAGATACTAAAGTCAATGCCGTCCGCCTCATTTCTGCATCTTGATTTTAACTTTCTAACAGTGAGAAACACCTTTTGGATTTTTATCCAGCTCTCTGTATCTCCCCTGAAACAGCGCTCGCTCTTCAGGGCTGACTGTGCCACCATCTCCCTCCCTCTGCTTCAATCATCTAAGAAGGGAATGCCCCCTGCTTCTGTGACAATTTGTCTTCTAAACGTGTCCCATTAACCTACTTAAATGCCTACCCGTAGCAACACAGGGGAATTTTAGTAAAGGGAGAGCAGTATGCTCTGCTGTTATCATCTCTATTTTTCACAACATGCAATGTGCTACTATTACAAGGACTGCCCAGCAGCCACGCGGTGTAAGTCTCCTCTGCAATCTGCTCATTACAAGATATGAGAGATGAAGCCCCACTAGCTCATACTTTCGTCTCTTTTACCGGGTGTCTGGTTGACCAGGTTTCTTCTGAGGAAGCAGGCTCTTGTGCCTCCAGCCCATTTTACACTTAGCACCATGGCGCACAGGCTGTCACTTTAACAGGTATGCATGCCATGACACCCATGATTTGAGAATAGCTGTGTCTCTGTGAGTCTCTGTCCACTGATGTGTGTGGCTTTCATATTGCATGCCTTTCCTATCCCTGAATAAGGAATGACTTCCTGTCTCTTTTTCCTTAGTCACTTATTAGCTCCATGACAGTTAAACCAACCTGCCAGGGACATCATAGAAACCAAGCCTCAGGTCCTAGTAAAACATGGCCAAGATGAGAAATATGGATGCACCCCATTAAAAAAGTGATGTTTCCTGAGTCAGTTAAGACAACCTCACTGATGACCCTGGATCATCTTTGCTCTAATTAACCTTATATTTAGATGTGCTGCTTGATGATACTGTGTGTAAAAATTAAATACAGAACAAAAATTTAAAAGATGTGGATGAAATACATCAAAAATTTGTCCCATCCAGTGTGTTCACAAGATCAACTCTGCCATTTTCAAATGCAGAGCAGGCTCAGCCTGAGGAGGACAGGAGTTACATCCCTGTCTATTAAAATGTTATTGAAATGCAAACCCTTTGTCGTCAAGAAACAATGTCATAATAGCTTAAGCACAAGAGCAACTTAGTGGAATTTGGGGCTGGGTCCTTCCACTGTAATGAAGCACAGGTTGAGACCCTTGCCTGACTCTGACTGTGTAGGAGATATTTTGTTGGCAATAGTTTGGTTCCTTTCAGACTATTAATATAGACAGCGATCTACTAAGAAGCACCTGAGATACAGCTACTGTGTATGGCATAGACATTCATTTCCACATTCTCTTACATCCACAATGATGTGTCATGGAGTTTCAGCACATTAGGTCAATCAAATTAGCACCCATAATATTCTGCAGCCAAGGGGACTGGAAGTACAGAAAGGTTAAGAGAGAGAGTTGGGAAGATTAGGGAAGAATAACTTGGATGGATGGATGGATGGGTGTGTGTGTGTGTGTGTGTGTGTGTGTGTGAAAAGGGAAGGGGAGGGAGGAGAGGAAGGAAAGAGGGAGAGAGAGGGAGAAGAAATAAGTTTAAGCCATTTCTAAAAAAATCTAGCTCTCTTTTTCATGGACAGATTGCAAAAGGACAGATTGCAAAAGCATGCAACTTTTCTTTGCATGTTTAGAGGCAGGTGTGATAAAGAAAAGGTAATAGTCCTTTAAAAGTTTGCAACGGCAAGAGAACAAAGATTCTATTCTCCAAGTAGTTTCCATAAACAGCATTAAATATAAAAGAGTCCTTTGCTTCATACATTTTAATAAATCAAATTCTAGGGAGACAACATATTGCCATACATTGAAACTCATGAGTTAGATATTCAAGAGAATAATTTCAAAAGCTATGACAAATCTTTAAAATGTCACAGTCCTTGAGCCAAGGTCACCTTACCTTGAAACTTTTCTTTGATGTGAGAATCCAACGAAGCTTAAGTTTTTCTTGTTGAAATCTAAGGAAAAAGAAATGAAATAACATTAAAATACTTACACAAAATCTCCCTTTGAACATATAAGAAAAAGAAAACCATGAATCAGACAAAAAATAGAAATACAAAAATGACACTTTCTAAGAATCAAATTCCATGTAAATTTCCATATGCAAGTTTTTTTTCTCTTCTAGAAAGTAGCCAACTTTACTCCGTGGGTAAAAGTAATGATAACAACAATAATATTTCTAACATAGTTCAATGTTATTTAAATTTGTCACGCAACAAGAATAACTCAAAGCAATTAAATACTAAATAATGCAGCTATATACTCAGGAATAGAAGCGAAATAAGCAATTTTGGTCACGGTAACTAGAAATGTTTGGGATGCCTTTAAAGAATGGGAGTGGGGTCTGAAGAGCAGAGGACAACTCAGCTGTGTCTTTTGCTTTCATCAAAATCTAAACAATAACAACCAATAAAAAAAACACCATTTACTAGTATTTTGAAGACAAGATATATATTATATAAAGACAGCTGGTAACAATTCTATACAGGAAAAATACATCCCGAGTGAACAGGTTAATCAAAACCAGGCACAGACAAAATTTATAACCAGTCTAATGGCATGTAATCTGTTTTAAAGCCTTTGGTATTGAAACCATTTTTTCACTAAGAAAACCACAAATAGACACTTACAGAAACTTCTTCCCCTAAGGAAGTGCCTTTGGCTGTTTTATAGTTAGGGGCAGAAGCCCAAGGAAAAATAAGTACAAAATATCTCAGATGCTGACACTTCATTATCCATCAAAATACATCCTCAGTCCTAGAATTTGGAAGTGTGGCCAACTAAAGAAATCAACAATAAAATAAAAGGTATAATGCCAGTGAAACATCTAAGCTTTTCTCCTAATTATACAAGTATTTTGTTATGTAATTAACAAAAGAGAAATCAATTCAAAAACCATCAAGTACTGCAGAAGAAAATTCCTGAATCTGAGGTCTGTATTGTTCAAGTCACTTAACAGTGCATTTGAGCTAGAAACAGTTTTGATGTATAATGGCTGGGTTTCAAATATACTCAAAATAACCTGAGCATTTCATTTTTGTTCAGTCAGTAAACCGAACATGCCATACCACTTCAGTAGTTAAACTGAAAGCATATATTTTCCTCTGTGCTGGAAGAAAGCCACTAAAAAGACAGTATCTTGTTCCAACCTGTCTCACATGAAGAGTTAATAAAAAGACACTCACTCACCACTGCCTACTGGAAATAATTTAGTATGTATAGCATTGATTTAGAAAAATACTTTAACTGAAGTGCAGCACATCTAGAATCTGATCCAAAGTGTGGGCATTCCAATTGCATTTGCAATTTTTCCTACATAAAGGCTTAAGTGGTTTAGCAGCAACTTTAACTTACTGAAGGAAAAAAATTCACTTATCAGCAATCACAAGATAAGCTCATTTATAAACTTAATTAGATATTTTAAATGTCTTTTGAGAAACGTGTATAAGTAATTGGACACCGGAGAATACACAGGGTAAAACAGAGGACCCCCAGTATTCATTATGCCATAAAATCCATACATAAGTGCATTTCATATTTCCCTTGCCTTACCTTGTTTCTCAGAGAATTTGAAAGCTCCCAAATAGCTGGAAAAGCCTGGGCTTCTGAACATGCTGGCACACAGAAGGCTCGGTAGCACAGCCTGCTCTACAGCTAATTCTCAGCCAGCAGCGACCTTCGTCTGGTCTAAGCAAAACTGGGTTGAGATTTTTCACAGTGCAGGACTACAGCGACCAGGCACTTGTGTCTTTGAGCCTCTGGTACGTGAAAAGCAAGAGGCTGCCGGCTGGAAGAGCTCAGACCCCATAATCAGATTAGGAACAGAAATTAAGCCTGGAGGCGCTGCAACAGACTGGAGCCCAGTGATGGGACGTGGGTGATACAGATGACCAAGGCAAAGCCACGCGCATCCCAGGATTTGCTTCTGCTAAGCAGACAATGCTGCAACCTAACCATCCTTGGAGGAGTCAAACACAACTTCCTCTCCCTACAAACACACACTCACAAAAGCAAAACCTACAGAGACTCTCGATGCATTGGGAAGAAGGGACGTTTGAGGATTTCCAGGCTGCTCCAAGTCTGGCTTTGGCTACGTTAAATGAAGTATTTTACCTAACAGAGAGCCAAAAGCCCATACTTAAGATTTATGAACAACATATGAGTGAAACTGTGGGAAAAGAAAGGGCAGATATTACTAGAGATTCAAAAATTTTAATTTGAGGCAGAAGCCATTAAGTTAAGCTTCTCCTATTAGACGGCCCCCTGTTTAATTTTAACCACAATATGTAGGTGGTGGGCCCAAGCAATGCTCATGCAATTTCAAGAAAAATTCACAATAATTACAGACTGATCGTTTGTACAGCGAAATGAGACATTCAAGACAACAAAAGGAAATTGTCTCATTTGCAAGCTAAGGAAATAGGGCTAGACGAATAACTTGCCCCTGGATAGACAATTGTTTGGTGATGGAGCTGCAGGATGCTGGAGAGGTGGGATCAAGATTGTGACTCACCACACCCCCACCTGGGAGCAGGGACTCTGAGTTTGTCTTTGTATCTTTAGTTCTGGACACTGTACCTGGTGCACAGTATGTCTGCAGGAAATGTTTGCTGAATGACCATAGGAAATCACGAGATAATCTCTTCTAAAAGCTAGAGATTCTCCTTCTAAAATGGGCATGTCGACTTAGTATCCTGTGATCAAACCAGGTGGACTTAGGCTAATTTGTAAAATACAAACACACAGTGAAAATGAAGAATTATATGCTGAATTAACAAAGGCACATAAGGCTGGGCGCAGTGGCTCACGCCTGTAATCCCAGCACTTTGGGAGGCCAAGGTAGGCAGATCACAAGGTCAAGAGATTGAAACCATCCTGACTAACATGCTGAAACCCTGGCTCTACTAAAAAATACAAAAATTAGCTGGGCATGGTGGCGAACACCTGTAGTCTCAGCTACTTGGGAGGCTGAGGCAGGAGAACTGCTTGAACCAGGGAATCGGAGGTTGCAGTGAGGCAAGATCAAGCCATTGCACTCCAGCCTGGCTCCTGGCAACAGAGCAAGATTCTGTCTCAAACAATAAAAAATAAAAATAAAATAAAGGCACATAAATATAAGGTACATCAACCTTGGGTATTAGAGGGGTCAGTGATAGCATTTGGCATTTTTCTCTATAAACTCCTCATTACATTATAGTCATAAAATCAGGAAGAACTATGGCAAATAGGATGGTTAACAAAAACTCAGCGAGGAACAACATCAGTACTGTGGATAACTAAAATAGAAACTTGATGCTAAGGTCACAGATAATTAGCAACAAAAAGAAAAAAGGGAGTACTGGGAGGAGAAGAGGAAAGAGAGGGAGTAGCAGAAGCAACTGATTCTGGAAATAAAGAGATAGGACGAATCAGGAATGGTAGCTGATGCTTGGCTGAGGCCAAGAGGGAGGATCACCTGAGTCCAGGAGTCCGAGACTGGCCTGGGCAACATGGTGAGGGCCTGTCTCTACCAAAAATAAAAAATAAGCTGGGTGTGGTTTTACATGCTTATAGTCCCAGTTACTTGGGAGGCTGAGGCATGAGGATGACTTGAGGCCAGGAGGTCAAGGCTGCAGTGAGACATGATCACACCACTGCACTCCAGCCTGGGCAGCAACAGAGTGAGACCCTACATTAAAAAACAAAAACAAAACAAAACAAAACAAAAAACAAGAAACAAACAAAAAAAAAACAACAGAAGAGAGAGATAGGATGAAATAATATACATGTTGACATGTTGATAAATAATCCTTTACAAAGTACTTAACAGCTTATTAGCCAGGTATGGTGGCTCATGCCTGTAATTCTAGCACTTTGGAAGGCCAAGGCAGGCAGATCATGAGGTCAGGAGTTTGAGATCAGCCTGGTCAATATGGTGAAACACCATCTCTACCAAAAATACTAAAATTAGCTGGGCATGGTGGCATGGGCTGTAGTCCCAGCTTCTCAGGAGGCTGAGGCAGAAGAATCGTTTGAACCTGGGAGGCAGAGGTTACAGTGAGCCAAGATCTCACCACTGCACTCCAGGCTGGGTGACAGAGCAGGACTCCATCTCAAAAAAAAGAAAAAAAAAAAGAACGTAACAGCTTATGGAACACAGTATCACTGCTCATCACCCTTTTTGTGTTTGAATACTACTCTTCCTATAGAATACTCATTTACAGTTTTCCTAAAAGAATCTAAAAGCTTACTTTGGATGATTATTAGGGAATAAGTCTATTCTAATTTTTTTTCAAATTTTCCTGTCATTTGCTTTTCCTTTTCCTCTTTTTTATTCTAACATTTATTTTAGATTTAGGGGTATCTGTGCAGGTTTGTTACATGGGTACATTGAGTGACGCTGAGGTTTGGGGTACAATGGATCCCATCACCCCTGTACTGAGCATAGTACCCAATCATTAGTTTGTCAGTCCTTGCCCCCTTCCCGTATTTTAGATTTTGAAAATGAAATTTCAGTACAGGATTTTTAAAAAATGTTGCATATTTTCTTTAAGTTGGTAATGGAGTCTTACCACTTTGCCTCACCTATTGATTATAATTAAAGCAAACATTTAAATATGACATAATTGCTGAAAGGAAAAAGCACAACATTCTTTGTAAAATTATGGATATAAAATTTTATCTATTATTTAAGCATCCTAACCATATGAAACCAAATAAGCCTGTGAAGAAAAATGTATATTTTATATTGATAGAAAATATCTGTAGAAATGCTTTATTTACTCTCCAATAATTATAATTATTATTTTTAATTTTTCCACTTGACATTCAGAAATTATTATTAAATTATCATTATTTTTGTAGGTTAGCTCATTCACACAAGGGAGCTACAAAATACCCAAACCTTTCCTCACATCATTCTGTAGGTAAACATATTTATTTGCAGAGGAATTCTAAGTTGTGACTGTGACCTTTT